TTCCATGATTCTTAACTGTCTCAGATCTTCTCTACGGGTCTCCATATGACCAGTTTTCTCTTTCTCAGGACGTGTAAAAAAAACCAAAACAGTTACGTCCTTCTCTGCTGAGGACAGTCTGTGCTGGTCTTTGTTGATGTCATTTTTTTTTTCTTATCTGACTGTGACTACCTCATCGTTCTTCTATAAATCAAAACTGTCTGCAGCTTCTCCATTTTTCACAAATATTTTTACTATGCATGTTTACGCACGTAAAGCATAATCGGTTTTTTTGTAGCTCTTAAAAACTGCCATATATCTACGATACCGTAATATAAGAAGTATATGTCCAAATGCAGTAAATACCTAATGATTAAAGACGAAGATATGAGAATCGATTTCATTACACCGGATTTTTATCCTTTATGGCTTAATCCCCATGAAGGCAACTGCAGGTCGCCGACGAAAGAACAAATGCCATCGTAGCGACTCCTTGAGATTTTTGAAGAGCCTGCATGGGTGAACCTAAGGATGCAGTGTAGTTCCAAACCCATAACTGCCAGAGGACGAAGCTAACGCCTTAACCGCTTTGCTTTTTTTTTTTTCAAAGTGTGCGGGTGAAAACACACATTTCGGACTTTTTTGCCTTTCAAGACCAGAAAGACCTGACCATATTTGAGCTTTCATAACTCGGATACTAATTATGCAATTTAAAAAAAAAAGGACGTTTAGGATATTGGTTAATCTTTAATTTGATACCAAGTTTGTTTCGAAATTTAAAAAATCTCATTTTTTGCAAGATTCTCTGCTAGAACTGCCCCCTTAGGAAGTTTAAACATACATTTTTGTTTTATCAATGAGTGTATATATACTTGATATACGTTTATAACATGCATGGTGCCTTTACCTTTTGCGACACTTCCATCTCTTCAACAGGAACTGGAACTGCTGCCGGTGACCCAGTTGAAGCCAACGCCCTAGGGAAATTTTTCCAAGATAAAGGATCAATTCGTCATCGATACATCGGCTCCGTGAAGACTAACCTTGGCCATCTTGAATCGGCCGCAGGGACAGCTGGTCTCATCAAGGTTCTTCTTATGATGAAACATTCAAAGATTGTACCAACTCTGTTCTTTGAAAGATGCAACCCGAAGATCGACTTTCCTTCGATGAACCTGACTGTGCCTACAAAAGTGATTGACTGGCCAACGCACACCAAAGCTGCCTGTGTGAACTCATTTGGTTTTGGGGGAACCAACTGTCACGCTTTTGTGAAGATGTACGGGGAGTCCTTGCTGCGACAGTCAAGTCAGGTGGAAAGCTTGAATGTGCCTTGCATTGTTTGCTTCTCTGCCAAACACGAGAAGTCTCTAAAGGGCAGCATTGAAGATTTTGTAAACCATCCTGAAATTACGTCTTTTGATGTTCATGACGTGTCTTTTACGTCAACGGCACGCCGGGATCACTATAATCTTCGTTACGCCACAGTTGTAGAAGACATGGGTGATTTGTTGACACGGCTCAATGATTTTCTTCACAAGGGAGGAAAAGGTACAAACGTGACCAAAAGAGCTCGGGTTGTCTTCGCATTTGGTGGGATGGGAACTTCGTGGCGAGGCATGTGTAAAGAATTGATTGCTGTGAGCAATGTCTTTCGGGGTGCCATCCAAGAAATAGACCAACACCTGTCGGAATACGTTCCGTGGACGCTCATCAGTCGTTTTGAAAAGGAAGCCGAAGTTGAAGACCCTGAGTATTCACCTATCGCTATATTCGCATCTCAGATAGGGCTAGCGAAGTTGTGGATGAGTTTTGGAGTTCAACCAGCTTGTGTCGTGGGTCAATCCGTTGGCGAGGTGGCTGCTGCTCACATTGCGGGGATTCTGAACATGCGAGATGCAGTCAAGGTCATCTTCTACCGGACAACTCTCATGGCACAGGTAGTGGGCGGAAAGATGATTGTTGTGAGAAACATGCAAGTGGCAACGGTTAGAGAAATCGTTAAGGCCTACTCTGGTTTGGCAAACATATCCCTTGAGTACAGCCCGATTGCCTGTGCTGTGAGTGGCAACTCTGAGACTATTACCAGAATCAAGCAAGATTTGCAGGCTAAATCTAGAAATCTCAATATTCAGATTCAGTTGCTCGATCTCAATGTCCCAGTGGCATACCATTGCCATCACGTCGACGGCTGCAAAGCTGGACTCAAACAGGCTGTCGCTGACATAACCCCACAGCCTCCTCTTGTAGACATGATCTCATCCGTGACAACTGAACCCGTCACTGAATTACTCGGTCCCGATTACTGGGTAAACAACATGAGAGAGCCAGTGCGCTTCTACGAGGCCGTCCAGAAGACATTCACCAGGGGATACAAGAATGTATACATTGAGATCGGACCCCGGCCCGTCCTGCGAGCACACATTAATGACATATTTCCACACGATGAAGTCATGCCTGTCGTTTCCATGTCAAAAACCCCTGAATGGAAAATATTCCTTCAAGCTTTGGTCTCCGCCTACGAACTCGGGGTGAAAATAGACTGGGATAACATACCACACAAAGGCAGGATAATCACGCCAGTGCCTCGGTACAGCTTCAACCCAAGGAGAAACCTACAGCTGTGCGAGTCCGCGCTAATGGTTCTGGCTGGTGTACAGTACATGAGAAAAGAGCATCCGTATGTCAATCAAGTGGATAACACAGACAACTTCAAGATTATGGTGACCATTATGACCTTCCCTTCGGTGTTTGACCATATCGTTTCAGGAATGCTCATCGTTCCTGGCGCCTTCTACGCCGAATCTGGCTTTGGGTTAATCACCCAGTCTGTTGACATGAAAGCCCCTCAGTATGCGGTGTCTGTCGTTTTTGAGCAACCCTGCTCCTTTGCACGAGACAGTGCTCTTGAACTGGACATGGACATTACAAAATGCCCGCCGTCGGGTTCAGGGGTCAAGAAATATGATAGCTACAAGGTGGCGATTGTTAAGGGAAACAAGACGTATGCAAACATACATCTACAGGCGTGTAACATGAGAGGTCGACCTTCGTCTATCAACATTCGACACATACAAGGACGGTGCCCACAGATTGTGGAAAGAGATGAGATTTACGGGATGCTGAAAACTTTTGGGTTTACCTACGGTCCCGCTTACTCACTCTTGATGTACGCACAGAGGAACTCTCAAGAATGCTTGGCAAAGATTTTTGTGCCAAATGCTATGTTCTTCGAACTCAATGGGACAACCATCCACCCGTCAATTCTTGACGGCATGATTCAAACCTCTATCCTCTTAATGGATGGGGTAGATGATGCTAGAGACCTTCTCCCACGCTCCATTGGACGGCTGGTCTCTCACAGGCCTATTGAGGATGAAATGTACATCTACACAACTTTGAAGAGCACTGACAGAAAACTCACACTCTACGACATCAAGTTGACAACTCTTTGTGGAGACACCATCGCTGATCTGGAGGACCTGGCGATTAAGTCACTCACTGACAAATCAGGTGGCATTGAAAACGTATATAAATGTGTTTGGAGGCCCATTCTCGACACAGGTTACCCAAAACTGGAATCAAAGGCGCCAAACGTGCTGTTCATCACTGACCATATACCAGAGTCTACGCCGTCATTTCTTCTGAAAAAATGTATTCAGTATGACGTGACAACAGACCCTGGTGACACAGTACCTAAAGATTTAGACCTGGTGTTGAAGAACACGAGAGACAACTTTGAGTTCATGGTTGTGACCACTAACACTGTCATCGATGAGTCAGAGGATGCATTTAGCGTTCAGACAAAAGCTTTCAACTTATGCATGATGCTGAAAAGTCTCTACGTGTACGCAAATACCAAAAATCTTAACATGCCAATCTATTTCTTCACGAAACGAGCATATCCTCTAGAAAACTCGCCAACAGAAACTGCAAACGTCAACCCGCTTATGACCACATTGTGGGGGATGACAAGATGCGCTTTGAAGGAACAAATCTACACGGATTTTGTTTCATTTGATCTTCATCTTGCAGAGACAGCTTGCACGCTGACGTTTATGGCATCTTTGGCTGAGATGGTCTTCAAGGACCAGAATTTGAAAAACTATCCCGAATGGATGGTAACAGAGGACAAACTCTACGTCAACCTCATTGTTCAAGTCGATTCTGAGACTTCGGTACCAACTTTTAGACACAACTTTGCTGACAAGTCCCAGAACGTAATCCTGCTTAGCAAAGAACCGGCGGTGTTAACCGACACCTTCCCAGTCTACCATGAATGGCAAACAAAGGACGACGCTCAAACTCATGTTAAAATTGATGTTTCGGCAACTGCCTTCCAGAACCCTCTGCTGTTCAACATGACAATGCTGTACAGCACAATGGAGAAACGGATAACTCTGAAAGGAAACGGATACCCGATGTTTGCCCTGGAAAACATTGGTCTGGTGGAGGGTGACAACGGCAACAAAAAGCAAAAGAAGTATAACATACCCTCGATCTCATGCTACCCTACACCAATTGGGTCTAAGATCAAGGTGCCTCTGGACGCTACGATTACGGCTGACATGATTCCTGACTACGTGCCGGGAGACCTCACTCGGTTGATAGCTTTATGGCACCTCCATACTCTTGTTACCAGCCAAAATGCAACAATCCTAGCCTCTTCTGCTACAGCCAAGCTTGGTGAAGTCCTGATTTGTTTACTTATGAGCAGATCCAAACCCAAACACCTCAATGTCAACCTGGTGGTTGTAGAACAGTTGAACAACGCGGAAACACTGCATGAGACAATTGTTTCTTTAGTACTGATCGAAGAAACGGTAATTCCTGTACTCGCAAAACGATGGCTGAAACCAGAGTATTTCATTTCATTGACCAGTCTTCTGGAACCTTCTGCGAGAACACACATCTCCTATTTCATGCCAAACGTTGAAATCAATCTTGTGGACACCGCTGTGGCTTTTCACCCACGCACTATCACGCAGGTGGTCCAGAAGGTTAAGAAATGGATGGTACGACACTCATCACTGATGTCCAGAGTCGCAGCATGTCTTCATAAGACTCCGATAGCTACCGGGGTGTTCAAAGACGTGGCGGCTGATCTTGACGAACTTCTTGAGATGCAGATCATCAACACCAACACATCGAAGGTCCGCGTGGAGAGAACAGAGTTGTTCCGGAAGGATGCTGTCTACATTGTTGTTGGTGGGCAGACCGGACTTGGGTGGCTCTACGTCAAATTTTTAGTCAAACATGGAGCAGGGGGCATTGCTATTGTAAACAGAAGACAAGCCACAACAGATAAACAAAATGAGATAACGCAACTGTCAGCAGCTGAATCTTGTGTCATAAAGACTTTCCAAGCAGATGTTACTCATATGGAGTCGCTGAAGAACTTCATGGTTCAGATGGAGGATGCGTTTCCCGATTCTGTTCTGAAGGGCGTTTTCTTTGGAGCAGCAGTTGTTGACGATCAACTGTTGAGTCAGGTAGATCCAAAAGCCTTCATGAAAGTCATGTCACCAAAAGTGATGGGAGCGTGGAATTTGCATCAACTGACAAAGAACTTGCCTCTTGACTATTTTGTTCTTCACTCATCTGTGACTTCAGTGTTTGGCAATGCTGGACAGTCAAATTACGGAGCAGGGAATGCATTCATGGATGGCTTGGCGCACTATCGAAGGCACATGAATTTGGCAGCACAAAGTATTAACTGGGGAGCTCTGGATCTTGGAATGCTCAGCGACCATAACGAATCAAAGAAGATTCTGGAAGGTCAAGGTTTTGTCCTCATGACTGAAGAAGACATATGTGGGTTTATTATCCCGATACTGCTGTTGGATTGGGGTCAGATTATGCCCTGCACATTTGACAAGGAGATTTTGATGAAGCGATTGAAGAGAGACATGTTGATTCCTTTTCAGTATCGTCTTAAAGCTATGCTTGACTCCACCATTGAAGAAGTGAAGATTGAGGAGGATATACTTCTGGCTCTGCACGGCGTGCGTGATCAGCCACTGGATCAAAGGATAACCATTTATGAGCGGTACGTCATTGCTTTAGCGAGTCAGGTGCTAAGCGTCGAAGACATCAAGTCAGACTCTGGTCTGGTAGACTTTGGTATGGATTCGATCGTGGCGATGACAATGATTAATCAGATTTATAAAGAAATTCACTGCAGATTACCAGCAATCGTTTTCATCACCGGAGAACCAACCGCTAGAATTATAGCTCAGGCCATTGAAGACGTTTTGTCTGGCAAACTTGCAGAAGGATCTGAGTTTGGCATCGATTCTGAACAACTGGCTATTGAAGCAGCACCAGGTGAAACCAAAGCTGAAACACCAGACAATAAACTAGTCGAGCCATCTTCAACCAGGCGTGTTAGTTTCGTTGCTTCTACTATTGAATCAAGTCAGCTGGTTATCTACAAAAGGCATCCACGAAAACAAAGTCTACATGGCGTTGTCGACATTGACATCCCTGTTGACCAAAAAGAGCCTGAGATGGTTCGTAAAGCCATTCTGGCCACACTGGAAGTACATCCAATAACATGCACAGTTTTCAAAGAAGACACATCAAAACGTAACAGTGCACTTAATTTTGAAAAGCAGATATTGCCGCCAGAAAAAGCCCTTGACTTTAGAGTCGCAGGAAAAGATGGCAAAGACGTTCAGGTGTTTTCAGAAGAAGCTTTTGATGTCAAAGAAAAAGGACCACTGAGATTTATTCTGCAACAAGGTTCCAAAACGAATCTGAGAATAATATTCCACAAAGCTGGCTTTGATGTGCGGTCAATCTACCAGTTCATACAAGATCTAGTTGCTGCCTTTGATCCTACCGTGAAAAAAACAGTGCCAGAAAAAGACCGTGTGAACAGATCACCAAAGCCTTCGGAAGATTTTAATTTGGAGTTGGAAAAGATCTACAAATCAAAATCTGAAACATTCGCACAATTCTGGGCTAAGACATTGAGTCACGATATTGCCAACACGTCTCTGCAGCAGCAGCAAAATAGAGGTCAGTTTATGCTCAGTTCGATGATTGCCACAAACGGAAGCCTTAGAACCGTGTTGTCCCCAGACCTGACGCAGAAGATCATTAAATTCATCCGCAGTCACAACGTCTCACTACTGGGTCTTGTTGCTGGAGCTTATCAGACTCTCATTCACATCTTAACGGGAAAACCCGCCGTCAGTCTGATGTTCCCGCTTGACTTACGACGTTACGTTAAAGACACTGATAGCGACATTGCCAACTACAGCAATGAAATTCCTCTCTTGGCGCAGTTTGACTTAACTAAGAAAATAACAATTCAGGAATTTATCGTACAGAACAATAAACGCATCCAACAACACATAGACCACGGGATTCTGCCGTTCACTTTCTTCCAGGGACTGGCTGAAAGAACAATGGAGTTGTTCAACCAAAGTCCTCATGGTATTAGCATTGAAATGCTATCAGCCCGAGATGCCGCCGCTGTAAATGGCAAATTGAACAGAAGCATCAGATCGCCTCCTGCAATTCTACCTCTGGGTCTGGAAACGAATCTGTTCATTCAGCATAATTTGTTGAGCAACGTCGTGGTGCTTAACCTTGGCTACAAGGAATGTGTCATTAACGGGATGAGGGCAGAAGTGCTCATGAAGAATCTGGTGAGTCTGCTAACGGGGATCATGACGAACCCGGACTTGCAGCTCAAACAGATCAAGAAGCACACGCGAGGGCTGAATAAATCTTTCTGTGCAGTTCAATAGGTGAGTAGCAGAGGCGTAGCCTGGTTCGGAAGTTGGGAGAAAGCAGATTATAAGAGGGCTCCAAGACACAACCCACACTGGTCGACGCCCATGATCACATTTATTGCACAAATGAACTAAGCTGTAATTTTCAAAGACTGAGAAGTAGGAACCGTCTTGCTCGCCACACCGCATTGTGTGTTGGCACGTGCACAAACTAAGTATATCAGTACTAATAGAACAGAAACACTAGGAGTGTATAAGTGAACTAGGAAAGTCACAGCAATGATAGAAATGTGAACGAACGAACTGAAATAATCAAGGGGGCGGGGTGGGGAGTCGGAACCGGTCTGCTAGAAATATGTAAAATATCTATAAAAAAAAATATTAGAAATCATGTGAATGCAAGCAGTGTTTATGAACTAAATCAGCTGAAGGGGAAACAAAGGCAATGGTATGCATATATCGTAGCTGGATGTACTTTACTCTTCTATAGGTGAAGAAGAAAAGGATAAGCAGCAGAGCATCAGCAGCAAAGAAGAAAAAGGAGAAGAAGAGGAAGCAGAAGAAGAAGAAGAAGAAGAAGAAGAAGAAGAAGAAGAAGAAGAAGAAGAAGAAGAAGAAGAAGAAGAAGAAGAAGAAGAAGAAGAAGAAGCAGCAGCAGAAGAAGGATGAGAAAAAAAGATCAAGGTCTACAGTAATGATTATCATGTAAACAGTAAATGACATAGCACAAAGATAAAACACACGTAATGGCTGGTTTTAGACCCACATAAAATAATCATATTTACTGTACACAAAAACGACCAATTTCATTTAAATTACCCGTGTTGCATGACAAACATATTTTCTGCATATGTCTTATGCTAAAACAAAGTTGGTAATGGTAATTAATATAAATACAATGTACTTTTTCCTGTCTTATCTGTTTATTCTATAAATTATTGCTTAATCTGTTGTAATATTTTAAAACTATAAACTGTATAACATTTATTGCATAACTATCACTGTTGTATTAAAACCCTGATATTTATGCGACATTGTGTGTTTAAATAATCAGTATATATTCAAGATAAATAATGCAAATATTTCACCATCAGCATCTTGTTTTGCCGTTATATATGTTATTGAATCTCCATCCTGGCTTTTGCCGAGGGCTCTAAATATAGCTGGGCCATAAATATGGCCTAAACGACTGAAAGGGACCTCTCCACGGGTGATCCTTATCCGCATGGTGGCACTTTGTGTCACCGGGTGTTTATCGCTTATGTGATGTCCTGGTGGGGTACAACTACCTACCTACCGTTATATGTCCCAAAAGGGGTGCAGTCAAGTCCTCAAATCCATTCTATCCTATGAAATCATCTAGATATCGTGGATGAAACCAGTCCAGTTGCTTTAACTTTTCTAAGAATGTAGTGTTTGACTTAAGGTTTCTCTCTCTCTTGTCCTCGTTTCCTGTCCATTTGCTTCCCATTTTAGTGCCTGTATGGCGATTCAATGCTCATTTCTACTCGTTACGTGCCCAATATATTGGCCATTTTTTGACTTGTAACTGATGAAAAAATCGATTGTTCAGACATTCATCGCTTCATCTGTCTTGAATTCAACCCATTTAATTCTCATCAATTTATATAGCTATAGAACGACTTGGCGTGAGCTGGTTGAAGGCCTATGCTCCACTGGGAGCTAGAAACATGGGAGAAAAACAATTTATAATGCACACCCTACTATTACTGCAATTATTTCAAGTTTTTCAAGTTTACTCGTTATTTGTTTTAACCAGCCTGGTGTATTTAACATCATCATTTTAATATCATCTTGTTAGTGAAGATTTAAAAAAAAAAGAGGGGGGGGGGGGAATGGGGCGAGGATCTGAAGTAGATAATGAATCACTGTTGTTCTGTATTGTATCCTGATCACATCTGAATGTATTTTGTTTAAAAACTGATGGTTATCATTTTATGATACTGATGCATTGTCAATAAAATCCTCAAGTGCACAGTCGTGGCGACAGCACTAACCATGCTGACGCAAATCCTCCAACTCAAAGACTCCCCCCCCCCCCCCCCCCCCCCCCCCCCCCCCCCCCCCCCCCCCCCCCCCCCCCACCCTAAACTGCAGAAGTGGTATAACACAGGCAGTTACTGGCAATTTTGGCAGGTGCGTTCGTCATGCAGTGCAAGACATATATTTTCATAAACTGATAAAGCAGAAAAATACTTAACAGCTCGCACATGCAGTAACTGTAGAAGGCAGCTACCAGAGGTGCCAACACTAATAGTTTGTTACTAGAATTGCATTTATCATTGACGGAAGCAGCAATCATGACAACCCAGCATGCGTCTCATATGTCTTATATCAGCACTCAGTGGGTAATGTGGTCAGCATCAAGCCAGTTAGTTGCCTGTACTTCCCAGGTACCTGGTTTAGGCTTATGTCCACTTGTGTCCTCAGCTCTGACTTTTACATCTTAAACCTTTCCCTCCATTATGTTTTTTTCAGAATGTTGTTATGTCTTTTGATGCAACCAAAATAGCCTGTACCTTTAATTATATTTTTCCTTTTCAGGCATACTTTTTATACAGGTGGGTTCTTTTATCCTTCTGACAGAAAATGTATACCATGAGGCCCGTTGCTTTGATGAAAGCTATCGTAAAGTGTACCTCTTCCCTTATACCATACAGCTGTGTCTTCATTGAGTTTGAACAGGCTAGATCACTTCTCTGTTAGCAGCAGAAAGTTGACACTGTTGGAGTACATGCACAGCATTTTTTGGTGCCATGATACAGGGACACGTCTCCGTACTTTTCTACACCAAAAACTTGAACATATGTTGGCTGTGCCCTATTCTTAGTCTGAATACTTCATATAGTCCCTCTCTAGAGAACCTGTTGACCGGGTTAGCTTCCCGGTCACAATTTTTCAAGAACTTTCCCATACAGTACAGTCTCTCTTGTATTCTCCTCGTAATAATCAAAGTCCGTATTTCAACGTCACATAGTGGTAGTGAAATCACATAATGTCTGGCGGGTCTCAATGGCCATCAAATTCGTGTGTGGGTTCCAAGTGTCAGCTCTCAGAAAGGGAAGAATAAACCCACTGACCCTGAACTCTTCCGAGTCCCAAACAAAGCACCACATGTGATTTCACTCTATCTGCTGAATCCTCTCCCTAGCTTAATATGTTCCTTTTTTTTTAATTTGGTCGGAATACACTCAAGAAATCTGGGGTATCGAATAGTCGGGCCGTTATATGTCCCATTTTGGCGTGCAGTCATGTCCTCAACTCTATTCTATCTTATGAAATCGTCTTGATATCGTGGATGGAATCCAGAACAGAACCTTTGGCTTCTATAACAATGTTTGTTTGTCCTGGGGTTTTTCTTGTGCATGTCCTCGTTTTCTCAGTCTATTTGCCTCCCATTTCAGTGCCTGTTTAGTGATTTCCTTCTTATTTGTATCATACTGTTTTATTACTGTTTTGAAAGTAATGCACCGATGAATTTTAATCACAGATATTTCTTCAGTGGCATCTTCTAGGAAAACTTTCTTCTGGTAGAAAGAGAGTTAATGAACATGCAAAAAGCGACTATAGGTTTGCTGAAACTGGATATAATTAGATGAAAGGCACAGGTATTGCTGCCTGGGTGTAAACCAAACTGCAACGTGTAAAACACACATTTGAGAGCGAACACACTGAAGAATAAGAATGGCTATCAAGCGAATAGTAAAAACGTCATCTGCATGTAATAGCATGGTACAAGATGATGATATCTAGTAGATTTTGCATCTGTTTACTGATTATATTTTACTTATATTATCATATGTTACAAATCTGAGCCTGTACATGTGTAACAAATACAAATAAAAGTTATTCGCTAATGTATCATCTTGTGAAAATCTACTTAAACTAAACAGTTGTGTGGTTTGTATAAATGCCTTCCTGTGTGAGTTCTAAGATCCCATTTTGTGGAGAAAATAATAAGCCCAGTGGCCCTTAACAAGCATGTCATAAAAGGCGATTAATTAGTGGTAGTTATTTCAAAGTTAGAGTGCATCTGCATGAGAGGCAAGGAACCAACAGTCTGCATACAAGTAAGCTGGATCTGTGAAATGTTTTAATTTTTTTTTTTAAGTATCAAGAAACCATGAGTTGTAAAACACCTTTTGGCTCGGCATTTTGGATATCGCAACCTTTCGGCCTTGATTCCATTATAACTATACAAGGCATATAGAGAAGAGGGACATACAGCAAAAGGTAGACCAAGAACAAAATGGGAGGATAACATCAGAGAAACTCTACAGTACCACGATGTGTCTAGGTCGAAGCAGCCAGAAGAGCACGAAGCAGGACATTATATCTCCCTAGACAACCGAAGCGTAAAAGAGGACGTACAGAAGAAAAAGGTGGGGGGAAGGGGGGGGGGGGAGTTTTGAACCACAGGATTAAGGTTCCCGACCCCCAAAATGGGATGAAGACAACTGCTTCAAATGAAACAGTGGATGCTCATAATTAACCATGTCACAGTTATTGGGGTAACAATCCAAATGGGAATGAAGAAAGTAGATCTTTAAAAACACATTGCAGCCAAGAATGGAAAACTGTGACATGTTCTCAAATTGTTCATTGTAGTTTTAAGCTCTAACAATTCCAAGAAATGGAACTGCCGCCAGGTAAAATGCATCCCAAGCTTCTTTATCTCTGATTCTTTAAACCGATTGTAAAACATCTCGTCTCTCAAGAACTTGGCTGAGTCGACAAAATTTGTCAGCTTACTACTCGAAAGCTGGTCCAATCTGGCCAATGGCTTTTACGAACTTTTTCATCAAACCCAATTTGGTGTGCAGGATCGGAGGGATTATTTTATGTTTCTGCCAGTACTGGATGTTGCATATTACTATCTCCAAACATCACAAAAATCGTCAAGGACCAGCCTTTGCTCACATAGTTTAATGTGTTTGCTCGGCTATGCCACTGACAAACAAACAAACAAAAAGAAAAAGAAATTGCATCGCACA